ACCCAAGTTTCGTCTAGATAATAAATATTCCTCCCTTCGTCACGGAATTTTCTAATTGATCTTAAGTAGGATCTTCGCCAACAAATAATTTCATCTTTATCGATAAGAACTGACTTCCTGTTCTGCTTTTCCCAGCAAAAATTCAACTCTCGTAAGACGGCCCATAATTTGCTTCTACTGATTTTTGGCAAATCGTTGTCCTCTGAAAGTTCACTTAAAATTTTGTTTAGCGTTGGTATTTCTTTTTTAAAATAAAATGAGTGTACTTTTCTGCGAATGACATTTTTGAAGAAATCATCTATAACGACTTTTGACCTCCCTGTAGATGATTTTGGGGGATTTACAGTATCTTGTTCATTTTTTGTTTCCTTTAAAAGTCTGTAGATAGTCGATTTTCCAATCCCTGTCATTTTGGAACACTTTTCCACGATGTCGTCAACACTGTTGGTAGGATTTTGGTGTTTCAATGCATTAAATACATTTAATATAATAATCTTCTCATTCTGAGACAGCGCACATCTTTTCACGCGTTTAGCAGGTACGTAATCTGATAAGCTCGACATTTTACCCAAACAATATTATATCCACTGGCACAATAGTCACTAAACACAAGTCGAATTTTACTCTACTGCACTAGCACGTCTTCGTATATTCAGCTCTAAGACTGGATTGATCTGTCACAATACACTGGCTCCTGCCCTATGATGTATCCAGTAAAATATACTAATGTACACCCATTACCTGTTAGCATTAGTGTTACCCGATAATTACCTGAAACGAAATATTACCACGCCCATGGCCGGTTCTTATCTCGGGGTTTTATTACTCTCTCTCATTTCCAAACAGAGTATAGTCAATTATTAGCGCTGTTGCCACATCTACATAGTGTTCATGCGTTCATTAAATATAATTCAAAACTACTTAAATATGATATTTTTATGTTGTTAATTTTCAATATGTATGAGCCAACAGTTCCCACTCCATTTTTGCCCCTAGTAAAACACAAAATACAATCAGTTCAACATGACATTTTTCCAACCCCTTAACGACTGCTTCGCCTCCCGATCCTAATAAGCGGCCCACAAAACGCCCCGCAAACGAGCGGGAAACCTCGGAAGTCCGTTCGTCTTCCGACCGGTCCAGTAAAAGCGCAACGTGCCGGCATAATAATTGAGAAAATCGAATTACGAGCTAGTCTGAGTCCCACCGAGCATCCCTAATTGGCTAAAAAGCACGCCTTAACGACATTTAGTCTCCGTTAACTTTTGATGCTCGCACCGGAGCTAGTTAGAATACGATCTCGGTCACAATCAGAAGGCGGGTAGCTCGTATCTGGCCCAGATTTGGATGTGCGACGCTCCGATACAAAAATATGCCACTTTAAGCTATCGCGAGAACTCTAAATGTACGTTCGAAGTAAAATTTAGGCCAAATATATCGTTTTTAGAACGTAAGAAGTTTCAAGATGGCGCGATTTGACTCGATGTAATTACGAAAACGTCATTAAAATACTAATTTGTAGAGCATTGGCGGTAAATCTTCAACCCGACGCTCAAACCCATCGAATTAAAATAATTTACAGCCGGATCGTCCCCAAGGTCTACTATTAAGGGTGTCTGATGCGCTCTGGCTTTGGCTTTTGATTTAGAGGTCCTAGTTGGCACTGGAACGAGAAGCTGGCCTTCTAGGATCAAGTTTGTTATTTATTGAAATTATGTGTCGGCCAATTAAATGCTATGGTTCGTTTAAGCGTAATAATTAGAGCAAGCGCGGCGGTGCGCAACTATACAGGGTGTTAAAAGTTTGACTGTCATAATTTTTACAGACGATAGAATACATTAAAATAAACATGGGTCCTAAACTCGACCATTTCCGAGAAGAAAATGATCAAAATCGCCAACTTATTGTATAAAATTTCGATTCATTAATTAAGGATTATTGACAAGGCTGCGTGCATAAAATACAATGTTTATCTCTTTTTTTAACTTTATGCTTAATTTTAAAAAATAATTAGCGTTGTAATAAATTTAAAATTCGATAAAACTCATATCGAACAAGGTGACAACGGTGCTGCGGATAACACAAGCTACTAAGCTGTCCAGCCAGCAATACGCAATTCAGTTGATATCTGGAATGGGACCGTGTCTTAGTGTTTTTTGCGTACCACTATTTCCTTTTCTTGAGACGTTTTCCAACGAGTGCGCGAAAATTGGATTCGAAGTTGTCGACATTTTGAGCATCTGTTGTAGTTTGTTTTGTAATTACTGAATTTTGCTTTTTGGTAAGTACCTAAATTATTTTTGATACGTATGATTATTTGGACGACGTGAATCTTTGGGTACTTTAATTACATATTTTCAAATTCATAATTTGATTAAAAGTTAAGTTCCTGTTTTAAGAGATTTATAATTACTAAAATTCGAGCTAAAATTTATAGTCCGGGCGGTATCTGTTTTAAAAAGGGTATACTTGGGTAGAACGCATATGATCGGAGATTTTTGCTTTAACGGCTTTCAAATATGTAACATCAGAAATGATAATTTTTCTATGCAGATAAAAAAGACGCGGGCTTAATTATTATTGCAAAAGAGTATACAAAAATAGCAAAAAAAATCATTTTTTACTCGTTTCGTCGACAACTTAGCAACTACATATTCATTTTAAACAAAAATGTAATATTAAAAAAAGTTTTGTAATTAAATTTTGAACAGGATAGAGTTAGTTGCAATTCGAAAAAATAATTATTGTTATTGAAAAATTCGGAAAAATCATTTAAAAAATTGTAAAAAATGCTAGTTTATTTGTCAATTTTTTTCAGACACTTGAATAATACCTAGGGATCTTCATACTTTTCCCTATTAAACTTCTTAGTGCATAGAACCATCTCACCAAATTTCATCCAATTCGGTTCCATAGTTTTTACATAATAATTGTTTATTTTTTTTAATTGAAAAATTTTCAAAATCAAATTTCTAAAAATCTAAATCCTTTGAATACTTGAAAATTTCACCACAAAAAGAAGAGCTCTTAAGCTTTAAAATAGTTTTTGAAATATTCAAATCGGACGATTAGGTGAGCCGTGGTGATTATTTAAATATTTTCGCAATTTTCACGCTTATAAACCATTGCAATAATTTAATGCTTTTTTTCAATTTTTTTTTTTTTTCATTTTAAAATATGGTTTGAAAGTACTCGGAAAGACGAGTATTTAAAAAAAAAACCTGTTGATCCGCCCATTATTTTCCGAGTTACAGCCCGTTAAAGTTAACCCTTATTTACAGCAAAACTGTAAGGGTATAAGGGCTGTTTTTTAAACTAATAGGTTTGTCATTCCGAGTACTTTCCAGAAGTAAATTTTCAAAATTTGCAATCACGGGCGTCCCATTTAAAATGTCGCTCAAAGATATTGAAGACCGCGTAAATCAATGAGGTATCCAGTGGTGGGGGGAGCAAACACACAGCTACTCCGATCTGAATTCTCGAGTTCAAAACTGCGACGCTCGGAGAAATTTCACTTATCTCAGCTTCTAATGGACCAATTTCGATGATTTTTTTAAATCGATGTCTCGCAATTTAAAAAATTCAATTATCATATTTTCAACTACTTTTTATTATTAATTATTGGACTTTTGATATATACATGCCGATACATTTGATACATGCCGATAAACATTACTTTAAAAAATGATTCATTTATTATGTTTATTTATTTACTATATTAATATTCACGACCAAAATTTTTGCATGTTGCACCAGGTAATACTAGTAAGTTTGTTTAAATATTATAAAATTGTTTAAACAATAATTATTTAAATAAACAATTGAAAATTGGTATTAATTTTTAATTGTACGATAAATTTTTGCATGTTGCACCAGGTAATACTAGTAAGTTTGTTTAAATATTATAAAATTGTTTAAACAATAATTATTTAAATAAACAATTGAAAATTGGTATTAATTTTTAATTGTACGATAAATTTTTAAAAATCTTTCATAAATTATTACTCACATAAATTGTGAATAATTATAATTTTAATTTTTTCGTTTACTTTTAAAATATTTATCTAAAATTTATTTTTTATTTATATAAAAAAGTATAAGAATCTTTTGGATACTTTAATAGACAGTACACACTTTTCATGATTTTCCAAATTTCAAACTATTTATTTCAATTTTTATTTACATTTAATCTAATCTAATTTTTTTACTAGTTGGTGATTTTTCACATGCCTCATCAGTATTATCACAATCTATTTCGTCGTCGATTTCCTCATCCTGCAACTGCAAAATATCATTTTCTAACCACTCTGAAATCTGATTGTCGAGTTCACTTGCACTTTCTTCTGACATGTCTTCGTCAAAATCGATTTCGAACTCGTCTACTTCCACTGTTTTGTAAGCATTTTTACACATTTGCCCTTGGCAATGGGTGCAATACTCGGAGCATTTTTGAACTGCAGAATTCAGATCGGAATAGCTGTGTGTTTGCTCCCCCCACCACTGATACCTCATTGATTTCACGCGGTCTTGAATATCTTTGAGTGACATTTTAAATGGGACGCCCGTGATTGCAAATTATGAAAATTCATATCTGGAAAGTACTCGGAATTACAAACCTATTAGTTCAAAAAAACAGCCCTTATACTCTTATAGTTTTGCTGTAAATAAGGGTTAACTTTAACGGGCAACTCCGAAAATAATGGGCGGATCATCAGGTTTTTTAAAATACTCGTCTTTCCGAGTACTTTCAAACCATATTTTAAAATTAAAAAAAAAAGAAAAAAATATTAAATTATTGCAATTTTTTATAAGCGTGAAAATTGCGAAAATGTTTAAAACAATCACGACTCACCTAATCGACCGATATGAATTTTTCAAAAAGCATTTCAAAGCATGGGAGCTCTTCTTTTTGTGGTGAAATTTTCAAGGGTACAAAGGCTTTAGATTTTTAGAAATTTGATTATGAAAATTTTTTAATTAAAAAATTTAAACAATTACATATTATGTAAAAATTATCGAACTCCCCAATATTAGATTCTTTATGCTATGTGAACCGTTCCCGAATGCCCCATAATTTAAACAACGGGTTGCAGGCCATGAAGATCCTCTCCAAGAAGAAACTCCTGAAGAAGGCGGGCATGTTCGGCAGGCTGCCGCCCCGCAAGGAGGGCCGTTCCACCCTGTCCCCCATAAACCACCCCCTGCAGAAGGTATACAGAGAAATAGCCATCCTCAAGAAGCTGGACCACCCCAACGTGGTCAAGCTGGTGGAAGTGTTGGACGATCCGGATGAGGATCACCTCTACCTGGTCTTCGAGCTCTTGGAACGGGGGCAGGTCCTCGAGGTGCCCACCCAGACGCCCCTGGACGAGGAAAAGGCCTGGGGGTACTTCCGGGACGTTGTACTGGGGATAGAATACTGTAAGTGACGTATAATCGATATAAATCCATAAAAGCTCACGGTTCTTGATCAAATCTGTGTTGTCTGACAAAATTTTTTTTTAGTGCATTACCAACGGATCATCCACAGAGATATAAAGCCAGCCAACCTCCTTCTAAGCGAGTTTGGTAGACTACAGATTGCCGATCTTGGTGTTTGCAACGAGTTCCACGGTAGTGATGCCTTTCTTTCGGGCACCGCTGGAACGCCAGCTTTCACTGCTCCCGAGGCCTTAGACGAACGAAGACAGTCGGGATTCAGCGGGAGAGTAAGTAGAAACGGCTCAAATTAGGTCAACATCAGCGGTCGTCAACACTGAGATTCGCAAACTAAACACAGTGCTTTCAAAATTACAGTGACGCGTAAAAAAACTAGCAAAAATGCCACTGTACTTTCAGACGATTTAAAATATCGTATTTTTCTCCAGGGTACGGATATTTGGTCAATGGGGGTCACGCTGTACGCCTTCGTTTACGGTCGAGTGCCGTTCTTCGACGAGAACATCATCGGCCTGTATTCCAAGATAAGGATGCAGCCCGTGGAGTTCCCGGAGAAGCCCAAGGTTTCCGAGGACCTTAGGGACCTGATCAGGAAGATGCTGGTCAAGGATCCCAACGAGAGGATAACACTGCCCGAAGTTAAGGTTAGAATTTGAAACGACCTTGAAAACCCTCGATCTTAGAAATACCTAATTCCGAATTTCAGGAGCACCCATGGGTGACCAAGAGTGGCGTTTACCCCCTGCCTTCGGAAGAGGAGAACTGCCAGCTGGTGGAGGTGACGGAAGAGGATGTCGCGAGGGTGATAACTTCGATACCAAAGCTGGACACTTTGATCCTCATCAAGCACATGCTCAAGAAGCATTCGTTCCAGGTAAATCTCGACACGTATACGTTTAAATTACTCATATTATCTCTGGCTCATATACAAGGTGTCCCGAAATTAATATACAATACTTTAACAGCATGTTCTGTGACTAGAAAGGGCTCATTAAAGGTGAGCCCCTCAAACTTGTTTCTTCTAGATATCTCCAGAACCATTAGAGATAAAACGATGTAATTTGAAATCGAACACTTCTGTACACACACACGAAAACACACGTTACGAATTTCATGGACTAATAGTAATCGCTAGATTGTAGTCAGCGTCGTCTCACATTTGTTTTCGGTTATATTCGAAACCTAACTTTATCGAATCATCTTTTTCAGAATCCCTTCCTGCACCGCCGGGACACCACCGTGGGCCAGACGGAAGCCCGCGCCTCGTCCGTGTCCGTGCCGAGGCAACACCTCAGCCGGTCCGGCAGGTCGAACTCGGCCCCCGGCAGTTACGACTGGCACCAGGAGAAACAGCTCAGCGTCGACCTCGAATCCGTCGAGGAAGTCATCACGGACCAGAGCACCGAAGAAACTCACGTGAATGGCGTCCGAAGGGACGAGAAACGGTGATAGGCTCCCGGCCGGTCCGCTCGAATACGTTGATGGGGCATCACGTCGTCGTATTGTCTAAATTTTTACACGGTTCGCTCCGGAGGTGCGAGGAGTACACGAAAAGTTGGTCGGTCTTCGTTTACGTCCCTGATCCGTTGTTTACTTCGTAGTAGTTCAAATGTACCAAGGAGTAGTTCGAATGTACCAAGTAGTTACTTGGAATATAATAGTCGAAAGGTACCGACGTGTAGTCCGGATATATCCGTGACTGTCTCGTGCACCTCCGGATCGAACGGGGCGTGGAATTCTCGTAGGAACGGGAATATTCGAGAGCTGTTTGTAAATAAATAGTCCAATTTTTTTGGGCGACACAATGCGTACGTTGCACTCGTAAGTAATCTCGTAATATTAGCTAATCCCCAACGCTGCTCTCTGTAGGCGTAAAACGGGCTGTATTCGTATACAGGTTGTTTGATGATTTTGCCGATTGTGTTCGTGCTAGGAAAAAGTTTGTCTGTGTATCATTTTTATTCTTTTTTTTTGTCCCGGCAGGGTTCGGTGTAGTTGTAGAGACTCCCTGTATATTGTTCGGTTGTTGACGTTTCTTGAACGGCGTGGTAATATTATTTTTGTAGGTCGTAGGTTATTTGTTTTATAGTTCGGATTATTTTTTTATGTTTACGACAATTTTTTTTTTAATAAATTTTTTTATCTTCAGTTTTTTTTATTTTTTCAAACGATTTTTCTGCTGCTCTACGGTAATGCTTAGAAAAAATGTTTTATTATGCTTCCAACTGTACAATTTAACTCGTAGGGAGTTTTAGATAGTTACATTGTTCGAATCGAGCTTGAATTTGTCCAAATATATTACGATATACAAGGTGTACGCGGCTTAAGTGCCAAATGTTGAATACAACAAAATATCTGCCATTTGCAATTCGTGGCGAGTGTGAAGTGTGGAAAACGGTAAAAACGACAGAAAACAAATCACACCATTTTGTTTAAAATAAGGTTTGGACAAGTCCCAAAACTGAAAAGGGTGTGCCTCTGGTATTGCTAATGGCCAGATTTTAGTCAGGGATATCTTGGATTGGGGGAATTGTGGCAAAATAATGTAATTCTCAAGGACGGGCATAAAAAAGCGTTTCATTCAGTTAAATCCCAACGCATATGCTTTTAATTTACTTTTATTATCTCTGTCATATGCAAGGTGTTCCGAATTTATTGCGTTCTATGACTAGAAAGGGCTCATGATAGCTGAGCCCTTCAAAATGCTTTTTCCAGATATCTCCGCAATCATTCGAGATAAAACGACGAAATTTGGAATTCAGCGTTACTGTAACGTTGAGAATCTCCTGCATTAATGATAATTGAGTCAGGGGCGTCTCAGAATAGGCGAGGTGTGGCTAAATTCTCATTAAGAACCATTTGTTTCGGATGAATTCCAATGCATATTAATTTAATTTACTCTTATTATCCCTGTCTTACATACAAGGTGTTCCAAATTTACTAAACAATACTTTAACAGCATGTTCTATGTCTAGAAGTGGCTCTTTAAATGTGAGCCCTTCAGACTTGCTTCTTCCAGATATTTCTGCAATCATTCGAGCTAAAACGACGAAATTTGGAATTCAACATTACTGTAACGTTGAGAATCTCCTGGATTATTGATAATTGCTGGATTCTAGTTAGGGGCGTCTCAGAATGGGCGAGTTGTGGCTAAATAATGTGATTCTCATCAAAATGTATTTGTTTCAGGTGAATTTCCATGCACATTCTTTTAATTTACTCTTATTATCCCTGTCTTACATACAAGGTGTTCCAAATTTACTAAACAATACTTTAACAGCATGTTCTATGTCTAGAAGTGGCTCTTTAAATATGAGCGCTTCAGACTTGCTTCTTCCAGATATTTCTGCAATCATTCGTGCTAAAACGACGAAATTTGGAATTCAGCATTACTGTCACGTTGAGAATCTCCTGGATTATTGATAATTGCTGGATTCTAGTTAGGGGCGTCTCAGAATGGGCGAGTTGTGGCTAAATAATGTGATTCTCATCAAAATGTATTTGTTTCAAGTGAATTCCAATGCATATTCTTTTAATTTAATCTTATTATCCCTATCTCACATACAAGATGTCCCGAATTTAGTGTACAATACTTTAACATCTAGAAAGGGCTCATTGAAGGTGAGCCCATCATTTGTTTTCCAGATATCTCCGCAATAATTTGAGATAAAACGACGAAATTTGGATTAATGATAATATTAATTGCTAGATTTTAATCGGGGATGACTTAGATTGGGGAGGGTTGTGGGTAAATTCATATCCCACAAATGCCAAAAAGTGTTTGTTCCAGAGTTTGGTGCTATCTTTAATAATTAACACAAAAGAAATGTGGCGACTCGACCATTTATTTGATTTAAAAAAAAAATTATTTCAGGTTAGTATTTTGGAGAACACGTTTCAAAAAAGCGATCCCCGCTTAATGTTACACCTTGTATAAACCGTTTTTTCTCAGGGCGTTTATAGAATATCTTTTTTATGATAATCTATACCGTCACGTATTCAACACACGGCACTTATACTGCGTTCACCCCGTATAACTTTACAAATTGTAGAATCTAAAATTTGTTACCCCAAAACGAACCAAAACTATCGACTGACAAAATTAGACGCAGTTTTTTGCAATTATGACCTTTACTCGACAGTTTTTTTTTCGTGAAAGATTTTTGGTGGTTCACATCGACACGATATTTTGCATTTCGCCCTTTGCGAAAGTCACTGAATTTATTTGTTGTCGCGAAAGACGTCCTTTTCTCAAACTTTTCGAAAATACTCTTTCGCTTTCGTTGTGTTTTAAAGAAACTTAATCAAAGTTTTGCTTAAACAAGGGACCACTAAAAGGCGCCTGCACGGCGTTAATCGAAAAAAAAAGTTTAAAGACATTGATATCATCTTCCTTGTGACCTTACCTACGTGTACAAGGTAATATTAAAGAAACAAACGTGTGTTTCAAAAAAAACACTTTTTCCCAACGGAAAACGAGTCCAGATTTAACATTACCTTGTAAATTTTCTCTTCCCGTAATGGCCTTAATTTTCCCTAGTTGTTCGGTGCATGTTGACATTTCCAAACCTCTAAACAATTAGAATTATTGAATTTTATAAATTACCTACTATGTATAGGATTAAGGAGAAGACGCACTAGATTTTATAAATTTTTGCACAATTTTGATGTTGTATGTACAGTAGCTTGTTAGGAACTTTCCGCAGCGTTAAGAGACTGTTCGTTCTCTTGAACGCGAACGATCGACAACATTTTTGCGTCACGAAACTGCTGTCGGTCGTCGTGTACCTGTTTCGTGCTTGAGTTAGCGATTTTGACATGGATATTGCTCAAATATATAAAATATTACTTTGCTACGACGGGACGGTTGCAAATATATCCCTGCCGCAAATGCGGACGTATGTTTGTAAAAGTTTCGATCGTATCTGTATTTTTTCACTGTAAGATTTAAAGAGGTGCTTGACACTTATTAATGTTATATGAAATATCGCTATTTGAAGGAGAGTAAAGCATATATTCTAATTACTAATAGAGGTGCTCGTGAAAGGAACCTGTGGCGTCTTGGAACGGTTGCCTCGACAGTCGTTCAAAATTATAAGTAATGGAACACATTGTTTGCTAAATATTTGTCCTATTTTAAAATGTTTGGATGTCAGGAGCTTTTAGTTACGATGACCTGTAGGCACGACTGTAATTCTCGTCTTCTTCTTCTAATAATTTGCAGAGTAGTTTGACTGCCATAATTTTAACAGATGATAGAATACATTAAAGTAAAAAAAAATCTTGTATGTCATGGGTCCAAAACTCGACCATTTCCGAGAAAAAATTCAAAATCTCATCTTGATGTACAAAATTTTGATTAATTAAGGAACATCGACATAACTGCGTGCATAGAATACCATAAAATACAATGTTAGTCACATTTTTAACTTCTTTATGCTTAATTTTAAAAAATAATTGGCGTAATAAATTTATAATTTGATAAAATTCATTTCGAGCAATGTGACAAAGGCGCGGCAGATAACACGATGTACTAAGCTGTCCGGCAATACGCAATTCAGTTGCTATCTGGAATTGGACCGTGTCTGAGTGTATGAAATACAATTTAATTTTGGTCTTTTATAAAAATAATATCCAGATATCGCCACGAGAATCAAAGTAAAATCGACATTTTCCAAATTTTCGGTCTTAATATCGTCACAGACATCGTACTGATAATTTTGGAGCTACAAGTGTCGAGGTTGCTATCTTTGACGATCGCAGGTTCTTGGCACCTATAATATACAGGGTGTCTCAGTTTTAATCTATGATACTTCGAGATTAGGGAGTACAAGGAAAAATAACGGCACGTGCTCATATCGGATATTTATTGAGAGTTTCCTATGTTAGTGCGAATTTACGTTGATTTTTACTCGGAAATTAACGATTCTCTTGAAGTTCTTGTAACAATCAAATTCAAAGGATGCTACTTTATTTTTTCTTTAAATTAGTTGAAACTAGTCGAAGTACTTCTAACGGGAATTTAAAAAATCCGTTAGCGGACAGTACCCGGCTAATTCGAAAGGAAAGAAGAGAAATCCAATTTGCCGTAAAACGGAGACGGATATCAACAAAATATAAGAGATATCTTTTGTTCCAATCGGCACGCTTTTTCAGGAAATATAATCAATTATTATTTTGCACAGGACCGTACTATTTTTTTTATAAAATAGTTGTACGAGATTCCCATATCCCCGCTACTGGTTGCGGGGACAGGGAAACTTGACCCGATATAACGTACACCAAATTTAGTTGGAATACCTCTATTATTTCAGAAGATATTTACAATAAATGACATGTTTTTTTAACTGTTAACACCCTGTATCTTGTAAACGGTTGGGATTTCGAAATAAGTATATATGACAAAGTCCCTTTATTTTCCGTTGTACTGTTAGCTCCCGAAGTTTCTTCGATTAAAACTAAGACACCCTGTATAATTTATATTGGCAAAGTTGCCTAGTTTGTACAAATTTATTGTTAAATATTGACCCATTTTCCAACGTTTAGCAATTCTACATTACTATTGTACACATTTTTCTCTAATATGACTTTAAACATCGTTTGAAATAAATATTTCGCAAACTGGTCCAGCAAATTTATTTTACTTCCAAGTAAGTACTAAAACTTCCACTTTTCAGCTTAAGAGGGCTCGATAGCAAATATGCAGCCGGCAATATGTTTTTATAGATTTTATTACACGGTTTGTCTAAATATGAATCAATGCACAAATAATAGACTTTCCTCCTTTCTAATGCAGATTTTCTTTAAAATGGAATTAGTTTGAATCTCAAATTATTTCTTGTTGTAAAGAAATTTGTAATTTGCCGCTTTTGGCGTCGTAAATTCCAAATTTCTTTACACTAAAAAGTAATTTGAGTTTCAAACTAACTCCATTTTATAGAAAAACTGCATTTGAAAGGAGGAAAGTCTATTATTTGTGCATTGATTCATATTTAGACAAACCGTGTATTAAAATCTATAAAAAATGTATTGCGGGTCGCCCATTTGGTATAGAGCCCTCCTAATAACATTTATTTACAATTAAAATACGTTTTATATGTAATTAAAACATCACGCTATGTTATCGGAAAGCCGTACGACCTCCGGTAGGTTTTCCAGTTTCTCGTACAGACTCCGGTATAGAGCCAAGTCGCTTTCCTGCAACGTTTGCGCTTTGAGAGGTATATACTCCACGCTGGCACTCACTATCTTATAGTTCAATTGCTCTAAAGCTCGTACGACCTGCGACAAGCTAGTTTTGCCACAAGAGAATTCTAGAACGTCGTCTATGAGCTTCACGTCTTCAGCACCCGATTCGATGGCGTGGCCTGTGGCTGTGTCTAAGATTCCTTCTTTGTTAACGCTTTGATCGGGGATTTCCGTTTCGATTATGCCCTTTTCTTCGAATAAATGGGTACCCCCACCGTCGCCAAATTTGCACCTATTAACATAATAAAAAAAATCGTAATTTCTACAAAACTTTATACCAAAATTGTTCAAACCTACTGGTGTTTCCTAAGAATGGTAGCCATACCCATTTTTAACTGATGCAACTGACCGGTAAACACTTCACAGAGAATAAAACAGCTCCCAGGACCTCTGCAAAAAAAAACAATGGAAAAAACTACACAGAGAGATTTGTTTCTCGATAATTACCACACCGTGGAAGAATCTTACTTTATCTCGAGCATGTGACTTTTAGCTTGCGACTTGTCCTGTTGGCAGCTTTTCAGCACACTGTGTATGGTGGCGACTGGCATGTTTGCCCTTTTTGCTTGATCTACAACCTGGGACAGCTTCAAATTCATCTTTGGATCCACAGATCCCCCCTCTACAATTCAAAAACTGAGATAAAATAAAGAAATTGGAGTCGAGTTGGAACTGCTTTTAAAAAAGTACGTTTTCATACCTTGTACTGCAACTTTCATCTGCCTGCTCAGCTTCGTAAAGAGCTGTGATCTTTCAGCATCCTTGGCACCTTTAATGTGCCTGATATTTTGCCATTTGGAGTGGCCCGCTAGCCTCTTATGAACCACGTTGTTATTAAAGTAGTTTTCACACAACTTCGGTGCAGATTTTATTATATTTTTCAACATGTTACAGCAAATTATGAAAAAATTTAAGGTTAGGTTTATGTCTTATGTCATTAGAAAATTCTGTTTTTAGGTTATCTTCTTCTTCCTCCTTTTTCTTGCTTTTGCTAAGTGACATTTAGTACAAAGACCGTCTCATCCATATTTCTCTAGATGTAATAGCAGATTTACATTGAAAATTTATTCATAAAGAGTTTGGTTTTATACTGCTACAGACTTAGTGAATTTCTTTGACACATAAATCAGTTCCACCAACAAATCAAAGTAGCAAACAAATTTCAAATTTCATTAAAAAAAAATGTCACCTTTCCACATATACAACGGCGGTATCTTTTCGATACTGTTTATAAATATTAGTTTTTGTAAGCAATAGGTCAGTAAAAACAATACAAAAGTAGTACGACGCCACACAATTATTTACATATGTCGATAACATAAGACTAGAATAATTATTATCTCTTTTATCTATGTAGAATATGTTGTAACTTCATGAAGTTAGAAGTTATTTGTATCGATTTGAAATTTGACAGCAGATTTTGTGCTTTATTTGTCCAATTTCTACATGACGTGCATTAATTTATGAATAAATTCGCAATATAAAACAGCTAGAAAAGCTTAATTTTATAAATAGTGAATAGTGATCTTATATCTCAGGATTTTCTGGTAAAATATACGGTATCTGGCTTTACAGAAAATTACATGCTATGGATATATTTTATTAAAAAATAGCAGTGTAAAATTATTCACCTAAAAAGTTAAGTACCAAATTTTAAGAAAAAAAACTTTTGTAGTTACAGTGTACAAAATAGCATATGAATTCTTCGAATAAAAAAAAAAGGAATGGTAGTAAATGAGCAAACTAGTCTTTTTCGTTCAAGTTATCTAAAGTGTTTTTGATACTAAAGCATTTTATGAGTTTTTGAAAAAAAAAACAATTGTAATCGTACGCTACTTCAAACAACCCGCACCGAATATCCTTATAAAAGCCGGTCATCCATTTTTTGCCTTCAAATATGGGAATAGTTGCACATGACCTGCCTTCTTGGCCAAGGCAGCTGGCGTGTTTCCTCTGTTGTCTCTGCTTTCAATATCTGCGCCTTGGTCAACTAAGAATTCTACCAAACCATGACCTTCCTTTGCGGCCAAGTGCAGTGGGGTGAGACCGTTTCTGTCTTTAACGGTAACGTCTGCTCCAGCTTCTATAAGTGATTTGATGATGTATAACTGGTCCTTCTCTGCGGCTAGATGTAGCACCGTACGTCCCTCTTTGTCCTCGATATTGACATCAGCGCCTTGATCTATGATAAATTTGAGGCATAAGGGCTGAAACTCTTTCCATGTAGTCGAGAGAGAGACTACGTCCAGCGGCGTTCGGCCTCTGTTGTCTCAGGTATTCACGTCCAAGCCACGTTCCACAAGAAACTGAATTTTGTTCTCATCAGTTCTTGAAGCGGCCGCATGAAGAGCTGTTTGTCCATAATTGTTTCTAACACCAATATCCATTCCATTTTCGACGAACAATTTTACAATCTCCAGTCGCTGTTGTCCGCCTGCTAAATGTATTGCCGTGTCACCATCTTCATTTCTGATATTAACATCCGCCCCATTTTCTACGAGGAATTTAACGCAGGACAAGCCACCCCCAGAAGCAGCTGCACTCATGGCAGAGTCACCAAAATTATCCGTACTGTTTACGTTCACGCCACTCTCCACTAGTAGTTTTACCATGTCCAAGGCATCATCGGTGTCTTGTGCAAATGGTTTTTAATGTCAGTATTTGCCCCTTGTTCCACTAGGAACTTAACCACCTTTAAGTGTCCCTCACTAGTGGCCAAATGCAATGGAGTTCTACCAAAGAGATCCTTAATGTTAAGGCCACCCCGTCTCAAAAGGAATTTTAAACAATTTAATGTGTTACGGTTCCGTACCCTGTTGCGGATGTTATTGTTGCAAATACTTTTTAAATCGACTTCTTTATATCTGACAATTTTGGAATTGGTACATTTTAAAATAAGACGGAGGACCGCTACGAAACCTCTTTTTGCTAACTGATGAATTAAATCGGCATTGTACGTGAGAATACGAGCGGACTGATAATTCTGGAAAACAGTAGACGGGACAGAATCTATAATCTTTTCTAGGAAATTATCGAGGAAAGTGAGAACAACATTGTATCTAAGTTCAACAAAAACTTCTTCGATCAACAATTTCTGGAACTCAGCATTTCGGTTTTGACATTGCAGTTCTCTCACTATGCTTTCGGCGATAAAATATTCTGCAAGCGTCCTGTGAATGAAACTGATTTCGTTGGCACAAGCATCGCACGTAAAATTGTAGTTTGACTTTTCGGCAATTCCTATCTTTAACGCTATAACCTCCATATCTGCGATCAGTGGCGTGCCAAGGTCTTCGGGGCCCCCCCGCAATTTTTTTCAAGAGGCCCCCCTCTACATCAAAAAAATTAATATACTGCCTATACTGGGTGACAACGAAACTACTGTCTGCGGTGATATTTCAAATCGGTTTATAGATAGAAAAAATTTGGTGTGACCTCACCTTTATATTTTGATTTTTTTTCTTTCGACTTTTTGAAGAATAAGAATTCTAATTAATAAAATTCATATTTCATAGCGTCATAAACGTATCAAATTCCAGCGATAGTATATGGCTAATATGAGTTCTGGTTTAGGTTTGGAAAATTACAGAACATAACATTATAACTTTATTTAATAAACATTACTAACACAAAATTGTAACAAAAATAAAACATTTATAACTAACACAAAAATAATCCTTTTAATATAACAAAAATAAACAAATAAAACACATTAACTCTAAAAATATTATTATGATTTGAATCGCATTTCAGACTTTTTTTACTAAAAAAACTAAAAAACTATTTTCTTGTGTGTAAAGCAACATATTTATTAACTATTTGGTCTAAGTCTATGCTTTCTGCCCGTTCATTTTCTTTCTATAGAAATTAATGCCAACGAACTTAGGCGCGATTCACCCATTGTCGATCTTGCAAAACTTTTTATTAGTTTCAGTTTTGAAAATGTCCGTTCTGCTTGAGCCGATGTAACAGGCAGTACTAGAAACAACTGAAATGCGGTGCAAATCTCAGGTACACTACTAATCAATAATTGATTTTTTTCGAAAATAAAATCAGAAAATTCCCGAATACTGTTCAAATTTTCCAGGCTAACATATAAAAGGTTTTTTATTTGAATTAGCTCCGACGCAAGATTTTGTGTGAGATCGCCTGGATATTTTTCAACTATTTCTTTTACTTTATTAATAATTTCCACTTCTTGCGCTTTAAGGAGTGTTTTGGGATTTAAAATATCGAATTTTGAATAGACATTTGTGAATGCCTCACATCTATTTTTTAGTTGTACTAAAATAGTATCTAGGCAACTGTTGAATACTAAAGTTCTTAAACGATTTTTAGGGTCTTCAATTGGTTCATCAACCGCCATTTCATCAAAAAACTTTTTAGTAGTTCGAATTCTTTTGACTGTAAATTGTGTCTCAATACCCCATTCTTTTGCTATTGTTATTGAAGTCTCAAAAATATTTTCAAAATTATTTCTCAAATTCCCTAATTGATCTGAAACATATCACTTTTTTGCAAACATTTTGAAAGTAAATTGACATTTTCAAATATTTTTCCTTGAAATGTTAATAAAAATATAAATTCAAAATTTTCTATTTTATTTTGTAAGACCTTTGCCTCATCCCTATCAGATTTTTTCTTTGCTTATTATAGTTATTATAGTTAGATTCGACAAACATTTAACGACGGCTAAATAGTTACCTTTTAATGAAATTATAGATTCGACCCTGGATGACCATCTGGTGGGACATAGTTTTTTTAAAATGGATCCCACAGTTTTTTATTTCAGTACTTAAGGCTTGCCAACGAGGCAGACTTTCGCTAAAAAAAAACAAAGTGACTGAATGGTGTCAAAGAAATTTCTTATCTGGGAAATATTACAGAATCATTAATAATTAATTTTAAGCAGTGAGCAACACAATGAATGTAATCCGCATTTGGCTGATGATTCTTAATTAGAGCTTGTAGTCCCGCATATTTACCTGAAAAGTAAAAAAATACACACTAAAGAAAGCTAGCCATTACCTAATATTTCTAAATTCTACAAAGTGGTACCTAAATAATGCACGATTTGCACGATTTGCAATATTTGCATTTTTTTTACTTTTGATAAAGGATATGCTGGCAAACCAATTTTATTGACCAAATATTTTAGATATTTACATATTTGTAAGTGTAAGCGTATAATCATACATTGAGAATTTTTCGGGGGGTATTAAGTGGATGTTTATGCCCTAAGGGATACACTTTGCTAATGGGGATGATTAGCCACCTGAGGGCATAAACATTTATTAAATGTCATACTACCTATTGCATGCACAAATTATAGAATTTTAAAATATCCAAAAATTCCATAAAATAGATAAGTAGGACCATAAAGTAGATAAGCGGATCATGATGTAACTTTATACCCCGCGCGGGATATAAAATGTTACACGCTACATAATAGCGTACTTTATACCCGCACGGGCATAAAGAACGCTATTATGTAGTTGAAAACTTGAAAACTAATCAATAAAGTCACAATAATAAACTATTATGGTATGACATAAAAAATATACATATGATTTAAATTACAAATAGGCATACTTACCGCTCATATTTGCAGCTCCATCATACCCCTGGCCTCTACATTGTTTAAGACAAATTTTATATTTCTCTAAAAATTTTAAAATTTCTTGTTCGAAGTCTTTACCTGATTGATTTTTCATTTCGATAAACCCCAAAAATGATTCATGAACATTTATTTTATTATCTTTTATATTAACGTATCTTATAACCATACTAAGCTGATCTTTTTTACTGATGTCCTGAGTAGTGTCAACTATAAGGGAAAAAAATGGACTCAGTTTAATATCTTCAACAATGGATTGTAATATCGACTCAGAAATCAGTGCAATAAATTTATTTTGGGATCTATTACTTAAGTAATGTCTTCGAGTTTTCTCTATTTTATTTATGTGTAACCCAAGCACTGGATCATATCTTCCCAAAAGTTTAACTATATTTAAAAAAACTCCTTTTGAGGAATCAGCCTCTAGCTTATGTTCGTCTGTGGAAAAAATATCTCTATGTCCTCGAAAAGGTAAATTACAAATTGCAAGAGTCCTTGTCACGTCAATAATCCTTTTTAGTACTTCTCTTAATCTTTTCATATCATTTTGTAAATATAAATCTATTGTTTTATTGGCTTTCCACGTCGAGTGCAGCAAACATGCTTCTAAATGGATTGCAGAGTTCTCATGTTTTGAAATCTTTTTTGAGAGGCCTTGCCAATCATTTAGCTTTCCTGTTGTCCAAGAGGGATTAAAGGAAGGGTTATGCCTATCAGCAAACAGCCAACATGGGTGACAATATACTCCATCCAGTATTTGTGAGTATGATATCCAGAACCTTAAATAAAATTGTAGTTTAAAATTCTCTGCTAATTCATGGGCACAAAGCTCCCACATAATGTTTTTTAATTTAATCAAATATCCGATGGCGCAAAAATAAAATAAAACCAAAGATGGTTGGAAATGTTCTAAATTTTATAAAAACTGTCACAATGGCATATATTTTTTATTAGATTTAGAAAGTTGGCTGAAATGTTTTTTAGTACCAAAAACTGGTCTAAGACCTTTAACATCATTAAAAACGCCTTTAACCCAAGTTAGCAATATTTCAAACTATCAAATTGACAGATATTTGTTTCTTCCTTAAAATGAAAAACCCGTCTAAAACCTAAAATCTTATTTGTCTTAATTAAACTATTTTAGTAAAAATATTCCCCTTTTCTCCACCCCTGAGAAGTTGATGTCAACCCCCATGAAATAGTACAAACTAGACCTCAGATGGAACCTATCCCACGAGCTTCGTTAAAAACGGATAATAGTTTTTAAGTTATCTTATCGCGGTTTGTTGCAGACAGACAGAGCGACAAACAGAACGAAAACAAAACAAGTGGTTCAGTAAAAAATTAAAATCGGATACGAGACCTCTAGTTTTAGCTCCCACACTAGTATAGAGGAGCTTTTGTTATTGTAACCGTTTCGAAATCGAAAAAAAAGTTCTGCGATTCCCTATTTAGTAAAGTAGGTATTGTATAATAGTTATAGTGTGGCAGCTAAAAACAAAAAAAAAACACGTAAAATTTTACTTACCTCTCTAACTCCTGTCCAGTTGTAGTTTTCTTTTTATAATAAGCCGTACTGAATGACCTGTGTAAATTATCCTTCGGGTAAGGTCCTAAAGGTCGATGGGGGCCGATTTGTACAAGTTCTTTTTTGGTATTTTCATCCAATTCAGTATTTAAAAACAAAGCTATATCACTAGAAAATGCTGTTGTATGTTCTGAGTCAGGCTCTTCATTTTCTGATTCTGATGAGTAATTTGTATCAGTTATGTTAATGTCCTTGCATTCTTCGCCTAGTTGATTATTTTCTTCGGAAATTTTCGATTCTATCGTACTTGCCGAAGTACATGGTTGAACTTCAGAAATATTTTTTTTTAGAAAAAAACTATCAATTTTGACCAGTTTTTTTTCTCTTCTTCCTTTATTTCATTCAGTTTTCTTTTCTGTGATCCACTTAAATATTTTCGTAAACCACTCATAATAATAATAGTATCAAAGTATAACAGAATGAACTAAAAAACACCACTTTTATAGTTTACTCTAATCTCGACTCTAGTAGACATTATCCGAATACCAATAACAATAGATCACGGCGACGGCATCGGCAGTCTGGGATTCCCAGAAATAATTTGATCTTCATAGATACGCGACTATTACCTGCCACTTATTTTTGTCGTTTTGGATTCTACGTTCGACTACGTTGTCGTGTTGTCGAATTTTACCATAAAATAGGTACTGATAAGGCAAAATGTACTTAATTTGATTTTGGAAAATTATGAGGTATAGACATATTCCGCCGCTACAAAATGAATAGTTATTACTATGTAAAAAGCTTGCTGGAGGTAGTCGAGGTCGAGGCTGAGCAGGGGCCCCCTGGATTCCCGGGGCCCCCCCGCATTGCGGGCCCTGCGGGCCCTTTCTGCACGCCACTGTCTGTGATGGCTTCGTACAAGGAAAACAGTTCGCATTCTGTTTTGTCGAGTACAATTTGCAAAGCGAGTTTTCGATGATAAGCGAGACACTCATCGAACTGATCGTTCAACGCTTGAGTAGCTGCCGTGTGTCCATTTGGATTTTCTTTGTCGATGAAAATGTTTCGTTTCTTGTCGATAAACAAATTGTATAATCTCACTAAATTCATTTTCTCCGGCAACTTAGGTTCTTCTTCGCCTTCGTGTAAGTACTCTTTGCATCCTTGCCAGTCCAGAACCTCGTCCGATGTCATACGTTCTTGAAATACCTCTGCCATCATCCTCAACTGCACAGGTATGGTAGCGAAGTGGTCTTCTATTCCGTTATTGAGGTCAATCAATGACATTCTATCAACGAGAGCTTTGCCGTACTTTTCACACTTCCTTTATCATCTGTAGCAAATATCCGTCTTTAGCTACGACGTGATAAATTCTTTTGGGATCCAGAAATGGAAAGTCGTTATGTCGAAAGACCACCCTGTATTGCTCCAGTTTTTGCCAGTATTTGGCCGTCCTTAATTCAGAAAACATCGCCTTTGCGCGAGCCTCAGTTAAATATATTCCGTCTTTGTGTCGGAACCAATCCGTTACCTTTAACTTTTTCCAAGCAGTTCTCCGATGGGTAATCGACATAAACCTGCAAGCATTTCAAAAAATCCTTTAGATTTTCCTCATTGATTACCGTTTGGTCAATATTTCTGTTTCGATAATTTTTCTCCAAATATATTTCAACGTTTTCCTTTAAACGAGGCAGAATCTCCATATTAAACGTATAAAACGAATAATCGTCATCCTCACAATATAACATGCTTTCAGAAGAGATTCTTCGACTGTCCAAAAATTCCAAGACCCTGTCGTGGACACTCGCGTTAGTGCAGATAACCACGTTTTTCACTTTAAATTCATTTTTGATTTCTTGGTATGAGAGAAAATATTTGGGCAGACTGAAATCGTCGTTCTTCGAGTTAGTAGAAAGCAATTCCTCCATAGTGATCTTCTTCTTTGTCTTATGTTTAGCCTGCAGCAAAATTGCCCCCTCCGGCCACTCCAACACCACGTCGTCGAACTTTCTCGCTCGTTTGTTTTCCGTGGAGAGTCTCCAGTTGCTGATTCTCTGCAGGGCGTTCAGAAGAAACATCGTCAGGAGGTCGACTTGGAACCCTACGCCCTTGCTGCCGGCGTCTCCACCTTTTTCATACCTGGCCCTGTCCATTTCTTTAAACTTCTTGTGTACTCGTAATTAGAAGCAACCTGAAACAGAGTAATACACAGAGTTTTTTAAAATCCATATCATTACTTTCAAAGCACGTTCCAATGGTCTGAAACCACTGGTTTTCGATATGGCCCTTATTCGAATATCTCTGAAGATGTTTAACGTGCACTCATGAAACTTGGGTTAAGGATTTAACTAACCAACGAAGGATACAGTAGTTCTACTAGTAAATTTTTATATAAAATGTTATACAAACATAAGAAGAATAAAGCTACAAGTAATATTCCTGTTTTTTATTAATCCCCTTCAAAAACGTTCAGTGAGATATTGGAATAAATTTAAACGGTTTCTTCAACATCAACATTCGCAGTAGGCATCTCGAATCCTGTACTTTATAAGGCTTTAAAGGTTAATGAACAATATAGTTCATAGTTTATTTAAAATTACAAAAAGCCATGCAAATATTTTGTTTTTATCATAGGATACGTGAGTCATTATCTGCATTATTATTAACCTAAGAGTATGATTATTTGTGAATAAATATCTAAATATTTATCTCACATCAGTGTATTCACAAAAAGAGTAAATTTTTTAAGACTTCAGAAATTAAATATGGCCAATTTACATGGGATTAAATATGTTTTGGTTTATAAAACTAGGAAATTATCTAAAATAATTAGTTTTAAATAAAATATATTAATTTAAAGTTGGAAGCAATTTCCAGAATTAATTTCATCAAATGACAAATAAATATAACAGATACATTTAGAGGAGCATTGTAATATTTTTGGAATAAAGTTTTAGTGCCGTTTATTAAGAAAATTAACTTGCCTTGATCTGGGGCAGAAGTTACCGAACAAAATTTTGCACTTGAACTCGCTCTTATTCATACTGTAAATCATTTATTTACTATACGGAAATCATTTCCACATTATTACTCATCTTCCAACAATTTTAATAACGTCTTATCCAATATGAAAAATAATATTTGCCAGATAAGCTCTTGATATTTCTTGGAACGAATTATACAACGTTGTTGGTGTTTAGATTCACCCTACCTTTTCAAAAATTTTATAAATGATTTTTTCAGATATAATAGAGAATATTTTTTTATTAGTGTACTGTTTTGGCACAGTACAGAATGATACGTTTAGTGTTAGGCATTATTGCCAGACGATTTAGACTTTGTGTACCAAAAAAAAATGTACTAGATTTTTAGTAAATGTACCAGATTTATGCCCGTTTGAACCGAAATTGTTTCAAGAATAGCCTAATAAAGCCGATATTGTCTGAAGTTAATTCTTAACCTATTGGAACTTCATTTGTTTTTCTACATCATTTTCGAGAACTTCATAAAAAATAGTGCAACTTTTGTATTTCACATTTTTTTATAACTCTTAAAACAAAAAAGGGGGTCAAAATAATCCATAGGATTCATGTCCGGAGTTCTGGTCGGCCAATTAATGAGTCCATCTCTTCACTTGCAAGGTACTACGTGCTGGAGCATTCCACACAACGCATAACCGGCAATGTTTGGAGAAATTCCTCTACATAATTTTGTAGAAGGTCCAAGTACTTAGGCCTATTTAATGTACAGGGTGATTCACTATATTTTGACCCCCCCCTTTAACTTTTTTGTTTTAAGAGTTATAAAAAAATGTGAAATACAAAATTTGCACTATTTTTCATGAAGTTCTCGAAAAATGATGTAGAAAAATAAATGAAGTTCAAACAAAATGGCCCGGGATATTAACTTTGTTAATTTAAATGGAACGCCATTATGTTTTACACTAAAGAAAATGACAATTCGGACATCAGCCTATTATTTCAGAAAAATTAAAAAGAAATTCAAATTGCTGCAGACAGACAGGATATTTTTGTAAAGTGTGATACATCGTAGAATTCGTATTTTTTTTCTTTATCCATCCATGAGGAGAACCAATATGGCGTCCATAAGAAAAAAAAGTTGACTAACAATGGAAGATAGAAAAAATCTGAAATCTCACCATTGAAATCGCCATGTTGGATAATGCATAGAAACAAAATTTCGTGAGGCTATCTTAAAAAAACAAATGAGTTATAACGAAAAATAGAAAATCGATATTTTCACTTTTTTCGAGATATCTCAGAAACTATCGAAGATATCTTGGATATGTTTTCACCAAAACACTCGCCCCATAATTGTACAACTTTTTTGTAATTTGAGCCACCCTGTATGACTAACGGTTTCCGATATCCCTGTAGTCTCCCTTTAAATAGTTGTAACCCTGTATATGTCATATGACGTCATGACATGTCATTGCGCGTCATAAAACGTGCGAGCTCTTCTTTTTGTGGTGAAATTTTCAAGTATTCAAATGCTTTAGATTTTTAGAAATTTGATTTTGAAAATTTTTTAATTAAAAAAAAATTTTAACAATTAGGTATTATGTAAAAACTATCACACTGAATTGGATGAAATTTGGTGTGATGATTCTATGCACTAAGAAGTTTAATTTGGAAAAAGTATGAAGATCTAGGTATTATTCAAGTGTCTGAAAAAAATTTCCAAATAAACGCATTTTTTGCAATTTTTTAAATGATTTTTCCGATTTTTGTAATAGCAATCATTATTTTTTCGAATTGCAACTAACTATCCTGTCCAAAATTTAATTACAAAACTTTTTTCCTCTTCCATTTTTGTCTAATTGTAAAATGAATAGTTGCTAAGTTGTCGACGAGAAATCCAAGAAAAAATTAATTTTTTAGCTATTTTTTTATACTTTTTGCAATAACAATTAAGCCCACGTTTTTTTTATTTACATAGAAATATTATCATTTCTGATGTTATTTAGAAGCCGTTAAAGCAAAAATCTCCGATCATATGTGTTTTGCCCAAGTATACCCATTTTAAAACAGATACCGCCTCGACTAATATTTATTCGAACAGTTATAAATTATTATTTATTTAGAAACATTAGTATTAATATTACAGACTGAACAGTTACTTACATATGTTCATTCCCTGAGAAGTAATTGCCGACGACGTCACTTGATGGCGTTGACGTCAAGGAAGAAGGGATCTCTAAAGCAATCGCAACATTAGAAGAGGTGCTGGTACTGGGAAGAATTATATCAGCAATGTTGTTTTCATTTGTAGTAGAATCCTCGATGTAGCCCTCAGTAACCGCTGATGATTTTTTCCATCCACCAATATTAGGAATCTTCTCAAAAGCATTTATCCCAACAGGTTGGTACTTGATCAGTTTCAATTCTAAAATTCGTTTAGTTGAAACAAGCGAATTTTCAAAAATAAGTCACATTATTTGGAAAAATGATTGTAATCGCGCGCTACTGTAAACAACACGTATCCAATAGTCTTATAAAAGCTGGTCTTCCGTCTTTCGTCTTCAAATGTCGGAGTAGATGCACATGACCTGCCTTCTTGGCCAAAGCAGCTGGAGTGTTTCCTTTAACGTCTCTGCTTTCGATATCTGCGCCTTGCTCAATTAAGAAACTCGCCAAACGACGACCTTCCTTCGCGGCTAAGTGCAGAGGGGTCTGACCGTTTTTGTCTTTAACAGTAAAGTCTGCACCGGATTCTATAAGGAATTTGACGGTGAGCAACTGGCCCTTCTCTGCGGCTAGATGTAGCACCGTACGTCCCTCTTTGTCCTCGATATTGACATCCCCGCCTTGATCTACGATAAACTTGAAAAGTGACAATGCCCATTGAAGCTCCTCACATGCAGTCGGGAGATCTATACTGATGGTACGGTCCAGGTTAGACAAAAACGTTTCGATGGCTTCGTGCAGCGACGTTCGTCCTCTGTCGTCTGTGGTGTTCACGTCCAATCCACGTTCCACAAGGAACCGAATTGTATCCTCATCAGTTGTAGAAGCGGCCGCATGTAAAGCCGTTTCTCCACGTCTATTTCGATCGCGAATATCCACGCCATTTTCAACGAAGAATTTTACAATCTCCAGTCGCTGCTGTGCAGCTGCTAAATGTACTGTCGTGTTACCATATTCATCTCTGGTATTAACATCCGCGCCGTTTACCACGAGGTACTGAACGCAGGACAAGCTACTCCAACAAGCAGCTGCACTCAGGGCAGTGTCACCAAAATCGTCCTTACTGTTTACGTCCGCCCCACTCTGCACTAGCAATTTTACCATGTCCAAGGCATCACCGGAAGCCGCTAGGTGTAGCGCTGTATTTCCGAAAGTATCCTTCATGTGAATATCTATCCCTAGTTCTATTAACAATTTAGCAGTTGATACATCAGATGCCTTTTCTGAAACTAAATGAAGCGCTGTTCTGCCGCGATTGTCTTTATTGTTGACATTGGCGCCTTTCTGTACTAAGTACTCGATGATGTGTAATTGTCCACCGCGAGCAGCGGCGAAAATCAACGTCTCGCCGTTTTCAAATTTACCGTCGACGTCAGTTCCTCGTTCTATGCAAGCTTCCAAGGCGCTACGATAGCCCGTGAAACCAGCAACATACTGGACTATGGTATTCTCTATGTTATCCCCCAAAATACCTTCTAAAAGCAACGTTGTCACATCGGAATCTTTTACTCTGACATCTTCGATGCCTGCAGTCGGTGCAAGGCCTAGAGCGTGCTCCAATAAATACCTTGTTACATAAACATGACCGTACTGAGCAGCTACGACAATCGGTGTGCCGCACGAGTCGCTCTTACTGTTAATATTCGCTCCTTGTTCCACTAGGAACCGCACCATCTTTAAGCGACCCTCACTAGCGGCGAAATGCAACGGAGTTCTACCAAGGTTATCCTTAATGTTAAGTCCGCCCCGTCTCAAAAGGAATTCTAAGCAGTTTAATGTGTTACGGTTCCGGATCTCGCTGTTGTAAATACGCTTTAAATCGACTTCTTTATTTCTGATGATTGTAAAATTGGTACATTTTAAAACAAGGCGAAGGACCGCTACGCAGCCTTTTTTTGCCAAGTGATGAATTAAATCAACATTGTACGAGTGATTGAATATACGAACAGTCTGATAATTCCGGAAAACAGTAGACGGCAGAGAATCTACAACCTTCTGTAGAAAGTTATCGAGGAAAATAAGAACAACCTGATACCGAAGTCCATAAAAAACTTCTTCGATTAAAAACTTTTGAAACTCGCCACTTTGGTTTTGACTTTGAAGTTCTCTCACAATGCTATCGGCGACAAAATATTCGGCCAGTGTCCTGTGAATAAAATTGATTTCGTTGATGTAAGCGAATTCATTATCGCAAATGATAAAATTGAATGTGTGGTTTAACTTTTGGACGATTCCTATCTTCAGCGCCATAATTTCCATATCTTTGATAGTTTCGTAACAGGAAAACAGTTCGCGTTTTCTTTCGTGGAGGACAATTTGCAAACCGAGTTTTCGATGGTAGGCGAGACACTCACAGAATTGATCAGTTAACGCCAGAGTAGCCGCGGTGTGTCCATTTGGATTTTCTTTGTCGATGAAAATGTCTCGTTTCTTGTCGATAAACATGTCGTATAATTTCACTAAATTCATTTTCTCCGGCAACTTGGGTTCTTCTTCGCCTTCGTGTAAGTACTCTTTGCATCCTTGCCAGTCCAGAACCTCGTTCGACGTCATACTTTCTTGAAATATCTCTGCCATCATCCTGAGTTGCAGGGGTATGCCAGCAAAGTGGTCTTCTATTCCGTTATTCCTGTCAGTCAGTGACATTTTATTCACGAGAGCCTTAGCGTACTTTTCGCACTTTCTTTTGTCGGCATCTTCTTTTAAATTTAAGTGGTGCGTCCAATATCTCGTCAGAAAATACATTTGGTTCTCTTCGGTGAATGGTTCCAAAGTAAACGAAGCTACCTGCAATTTTGACCTCAAATCCTTAACCATATGGGGTCTCGTAGTAACGAACACCTTCGCAAAATTTAACGCTTCTTGACACTGCAAGAGCAAACTCATTATGAGATCAGTATAGTCGGGGCTAATTTCGTCCACAGCGTCTAACATCAAAACCACATTTCTTCTCATTGCGAAAACAAAATTGTCAAACTCGTTTGTCAATCTAGTGGCGTCCTTGGAATTTAACAGGGCCAAGACGTTTATCGTTTTCCTATTATTTTTCAAGGAATCCCTTAAAATTCTAGAAAAATCATTCAACTCTATTTTTATGACCCACAAAAGGGGGTGTCTGTCTTTAATAATAGCTGCCAAATTGGTAAGGACCGTAGTCTTTCCCATACCGGCTGTATCTGCGATTAGAATAATATTTGGATTTACGTCAAAAATATTGCCCTCTGAATAAAAGACGTTTGCTTCTTGGTCCTCCATGTTCTCGATGTTCCTCTTAAATGTGCGGTTTATATAAAGGGTGGTAATGCTTTCATCTAAACCGATGAGAGGTGTCCCAACGGTAACTTTCTCATTGACCATCAGTCTTTGTAAAATTAAATTAGCAGCTTTCTGAAAATCTTCGGTCTCCCCCATTGGGATTAGTTCTCCTAAACTGAGGTCCGTCCCTTGGAAAACGATATTTCTCTTGCTTAATAAGCTTTCCCGAGTTTCTTCTGACAAGTCGTCGAATGCCCCAGAACCAAAAATAACCTCACAATCGCTCTGACCTAATCCAAAGAGCTGATCCAACTTATCATCGGATTCAGTTACTAAAATTACTTTTTTGTACTGACGAGCTTTTAAAATGGCAGTTATTTTATCACTTATTTCGGTCATTGCAGCTTCTTCCATATTTTTAGGCCAAACTATAACTAGAAAGTTGTACTGGGACAATTGGAATGACTCTACGACTTGCTTCTGAACTTCAATGCCGTCATCAGGATCGACGCACAGGATTTTCGATGTATCGTTCTTCAGCGCATGATATACCTTTATCATCTGCAGCAAATATCCGTCTTTAGCTACGACGTGATAAATTCTTTTGGAATCCGGAAATTGCAAGTCGTTATGTCGAAAGACCACCCTGTATTGCTCTAGTTTTAGCCAGTATTTGGCCGTCCTTAATTCAGAAAACATCGCCTTTGCGCGGGCCTCTGTCAAATATATTCCGTCTTTGTGTTGGAACCAATCCGTTACCTTGGCGCGTATTTCGAAATAAGAAATTTTCTTGTACAAGTCGTTAGACCTTTTCAAGTAGGACAATAATTGTTGGATAACTTTTTCCAAAGCGTTCTCGGATGGATAACCGGCATAAACCTGCAAGCGCTCCAAAAAGTCCTTTAGATTTTCCTCATTGATTACCGTTTGGTCAATATTTCTGTTCTGGTAATTTTTCTCCAAATATATTTCAACGTTTTCCTTTAAACGAGGCAGAATCTCCATATTAAACTTATAAAACGAATAATCCTCATCCTCACAATATAACATGCTTTCAGAAGAGATTTTTCGGCTGTCCAAAAATTCCAAGATCTTCTCTTGGACACTCGCGTTAGTGCAGATTACCAGGTTTTTCACTTTAAATTCATTTTTGATTTCTTGATATGAGAGAAACTATTTGGGCAGACTGAAATCGTCGTTCTTCGAGTTAGTAGACAGCAATTCCTCCAAAGTGATCTTCCTCTTCTTCTTGTGCTTAGCCTGCAGTAAGACAGCGCCCTCTGGCCACTCCAGCACCACGTCGTCGAACTTTCCCGCTCGTTTATTTTCCGTAGAAAGCCTCCAGTTGCTGATTCTCTGCAGGGCGTTCAGAAGAAACATCGTCAGGAGGCCGACTTGGAATCCTACGCCCTTGTTGCCGGCGTCACCACTTTTTTCGTACCTGGCTGTGTCCATTTCTTTAAACTTCGTGTTGTATGCTCGTAATTAGAATCGACCTGAAACATAGTAATATACGGAGTGTTTTTTTAATCAATCAGGAGCTTGTTTCAATGGTCTGAGATCACTGGCTTTCGATAGGGCTCTTATTCAAATATCTCTGAAGATGTTTGACGTGTACTGATGAAACTTGGGCTAATTAATCAAATATATACATAAGTAAATATTTATCTAAAACGTTATGCAGGCTTTAGAGGATTTATAAAATAAATCTATAAATAACATTATATTTTTGTTCATCTATTTCATCGATATTCCTCAAAAACTGAGAGAATTATAATGTTTTTACTGCAAACTTGAAAGAATGTGGAATTTACAATGGCAATTGTATCTATTCTTGTTTCGTTACTAATTTAGCAGTGCCAACAACAACCAATAGTAGTGGTTAGCCGCTTATGTGTATCATAGTTTTAATACATGAAAATTTCAATATTTTATATCTTTTTTATTATATTATTTTTAGAAAACGATCGAAAATTAAAATATAACGAAATACGTGCTAATTTTACTCACGTTTTGAGAAAAATTGTTTAAAATTTGGAAATACCGAGTGTAACCTTGAATAAGATAAATAAAAACAATGTCATAAGTTTATTTTCTTAAATTCTGTCACGAAAACTGACCTTTTTTAAGTAATGCATATTCAAATTGTATCCGTCTTGACTCGAACAGGGTGTCCTTGAAAAGGATGGACTTGACCACGGGTTCCTTGGATGAAAACAAGACTATTTAGCCTAACTTACCTATATACAAAAGTGGGCGCCTACTGAGACATAGCCTTCTAAATATAGAATAGATAACCTAGTTTTTTTCAAATAATTTGAAAACTATTTTTCTTAGAAACTTCAAATTTGGTACACTTATTTTTTATATATAAGGGTAAGGTAAATATAGAATTTGGAGAGAATACATATACAGGATGTTCTCTTTCTAGTGCCTGTGCGCCACTGGCTGTCCCGTAACTTTTTTGTATGTACGCCAATGACGACAGAATTTTTAAAAATAAGCACTGCTTTAGTTAAGTTTTTTTGCCTCTTACAAAATTTCGATATCGTTTATGGATTTCGAGTAAAATTGGCATTTTTTACAGATTAAATAATATAAAATCAGTTTAAGATAAATAGAACATTCTAGTACGAGGTGCCATATAACAGATAAACAAATTCATAACAGTAATTAAAAGGTTCTATGTCAAGCTAGCTGTGATTTAATTTTACCTTACATTGTTTTTTATTGCAATTTGCTGAACAAACTGATATGTTAGCAGTTTTGGGTTATTGTGAAGGAAATTGTTGTGCTACTGTTCGAACATATGCTGAAAGATTTCCTAATCGAAAAACTCCAAATCACAAAACATTTGCTAATGCGGAGAGACGCCTTCGGGAAACAGGACGTTTTTTACCTGTAACATTAAATCGTGGATAATGTACGGGCGGAATTATTCAGCTGGAGGAACAAATTTTGGAAAGGGTCGAAGAAATTCCTCAAGTAAATAAAAGGCGTTCAGCGGCAGAAGTTGGTTTTCAAAAAGTTCCTTTAATAGAGTATTAAAAGACCAGTTATTACAGGTTACAGGTATTACAGGGTACAGTTAGGTATTACAGGTTATTAAAGGTCTAACAGATGGATAGGTAGGGGAAATAATGCACCTTTAAAATGGCCATCTCGATCCCCGGACCTATACCCATGTAATTATTTCATTTGGGGAGCGTTGCGGAAAGCAGTTTAAAATAACTTTTCAGTAAATACAGAAAACGAATATGGGAAAGAATACAACATGAAATTAATGTTATGAGAGGTAATGCACAATTATTGGATAATTTCTAATTTTCCAAGAACTAATTTTTGCGTTTAAGAACATGATAATATTGTATTATTATTATTACCTTGTTTATTTAAAATATTAGTGTTGATTTTTATTTTATTGATTGATAATACTAATTACAAAAATGTATAGTTATTTTTTTTAATGTGACGTTTTTTCATTATTATTCCCTGCTTTGAGGCTGCAGTTATAAATTATTTTTTATAAATCGGAATTTTGGCTATATTTAATGTATAAAAAATGCGAATTTTACTCGAAATCCATAAACAATATCGAAATTTTGTAAGAGCAAAAAAATCTTCTAAAATAGTGCTTACTTTAAAAAATATAAATTCTGTCGTCATTGACATACACACAAAAAAGTTACGGGATAGCCAGTGGCGCACAGGCACTAGAAATAGAACATCCTGTATATGTATTCTCTCCAAATTCTATATTTACCTTGCTCTTATATAAAAAAATAAGTGTACCAAATTTAAAGTTTCTAAGAAAAATATCGTTCAAATTATTTGAAAAAAAAATAGGTTATCTATTCTATATTTAGAAGGCTAGGTATATCTCAATAGGCGCGCACTTTTGTGTATAGGTAAGTTAGGCTAAATAGTCTTATTTTCATCCAAGGAACCTGTGGCCAAGCGTTGTCCATCCTTTTCAGGGACACCCTGTACATACGGTTTTCTATTATTTTCGGCCATTGTTAATGCAAAATTCAACTATTTTTATTCGCGGTTGTTGAAACTTTATAGAAAATCGTCAAATAAACAAAAAATATATAGACTCTTTTTTATTTAGAGCTTACTTTCGATGTTACAGGGAAAAATATGTCGAAAAACGGGTAATTTTTCGTTCTTTTTGTATGTTTGTTGTTCCCGTGAATTTAGCAATGGTTTTTTGGAATAGGCGAACTCGGATTCTTATTCTACATAATATTTGGGATTTTTCTGTGCAACGAAATTGGTGACTTCAAACAAAAACGCCAAAGCCTACTTTTACTGTTGTATCGCCTGGACTATAAATATTTATCTCACAAGTGGCATACAGGAAGCGTAAACTTGCTTCAAGAATGTTGCAATCGTCAAAATAATCTACAATAAAGTCACTCAAAAATTTGTTTGAAATCGATACGTAGGTACGAGTATCTTTTTGTCTAGAATTAAAGTCCTTTATCTTGAAAATGATGCGTCATTAAATATGGCCAAGTGTTTTATGTACATTTTGTTCAGGATTAAAAAAATAAGAGACCTTTGTTTTGATTTGAAAAATAATTTGTTTTAAATAAAAAATAAAAGGTGATAACTTTCATAATTAATTTTATCAGATAACAAAAAAAGATAATGGATGCATTTATAGTTTTTGGAATAAAGTTTTAGTGCTGTTTGATAGAAAATTAACCTACCTTGATTTTTGATAGAAATTACTTAACGAAATATTTCACTTATTGCAGATAACTAGTTATTAACACTGTTAGTTTTTTTGCACAATACGGAAATCTCTATCTTTTCTACTTATTATTACTTATCTTGCGAAAAATTAATAACAGAGACAAACCTTATCTTATCGAATTAAATTTAATTGTATTAGGTATTTCTCAGAAGGAATTATATGTATAGATTACAACGTTGCTAAAATGTTTACATTCGACGCAACTTTTAAAAAATTTATTAAATTATTCCTCGAGGTAGGTATAATAAAAAGTCTCTTTTTTTATTAGAGTGCTTTTTTCGGGCGTATATACCTTTGTTATTTATTAAAGATAGACCATCAAAAGATGCAGAAGTTATGTCACTTAAAATGAGATTTTTTTTTCTTAAAAATGCTCATGAAATAATTACTTATGACCAATAACGGACCAATAATGGTAGTACCAATAATACCAGGCCACATATTTATATTTTGAGGTCTGTGGGTGCGTTCTTCTCTCATCTAGTGAGGATTTTGATCACTCCAGTACCTCAGATTGTGACGATTGACTAAACCATTAACGGTAAAAGTACATTCGTCGGAAAAACAAATATTAAATATAAAGTTTGGGTCTTGGTGAACTTTTGCCATTATTGTTTCACAGAAATCAAGCGTTCGATCATAATCATCTTCACTTGACTCTTGCAGTAAATGTGTTTTGTAAGGTTTATAAGAGTTTGTTTTTAAAATTCGGCAAATAGATAATCCATTACTTCCATCATGTTGTACGAGGATCTGCTTCCACAAAACTCTGCAATACTTCAACAGCGTTACTGTAATTTTCCAGAAAACTTTACATTACTGTAAAGAGAATGACATTATTATCTTTCAAATGACGTATCACAAGTCATACTGTGCAATTTAAAAAAAATGGTGGGAACCTTGTGGGGGGTAAGAGGGTTAATGCAAACATTTGTTTACGCGTCAAAAAATGACAAAAGGAATGAATTTTCTGAAATATATCTCAACTGTATCTAAAACTCACTAGCAATCTAGATATCTTACTGTTCGGCGACTTTTGGTACACGATGTATGAAAAGGCCGAGTGTAGAGTTTAATAAATCGAAATTTAAAAAGTATTTAAGAACGGAAATTGAAGTCCCGTTTCATCTAACAAAGTACTACAATATTCAAATAGATGTCGCTACAGGAAATACGTTTATAGTAAAAATAGTACGATTATTTAATTCATTCAAATTCCGGCAAAACACACCTAAAAAAACGAGAAAATGCCAGGTGCACGCACACGTGCACGATAATGAGTTGTCCGGCCCGGCCTATACGTCCATCCCACTCTCTTGCTATCTCATAATTGCATATGAAAAGAGAAGGGTAATAAAATAGTAAAAACTCCAATTTGCGGCCGCCGGTTTTTTGTTCTGAAAATATTTCTATTTTCTATCTTCTACATATTATTATGTACATATTTACAAAAAAGGAGGATGGCAAGTGGTTGTACAAATTTATAATATTTGCAGCCAACTAAAAGTTTTATTTCATATTATTTTCTACATTTTAGTACTTATATGGATTCGGACCAGAGTAGGTGCGAATGTAATTATTTCTTGTATGGATCTTTGAGCTGTTATCTTTTATTGTTGCGTTGTGGCTGCGAAATATTTTATTTGTGGAGTTTACTATTTTTTATATGAAGGAAAAAACATTAACAGAGTAAGTATTACAATTTGCTAGGCATAGTTGTACTTAGTACTAAATTCAAGTAAATAATAGATATTAAAATAAATATGTA